CTGAGGATGTGCTTGACGTCTCCATCTGCATGCCCACATGGGCAGCTCGGGTCTGGTCGTAGCCCCATAGTGTGGCGATGATGGGGTGTGGGGGCGTGTCCTAAAATTAAGGCAGAGAGCTCGGGTGATGACTTACCAGCCTTCAAGAATCTTCTGGCATGGGAAAATCCCCAAAGGAAGTCCCGTACGCTGGTGCCCAGAGTGGCTCGCTTCTCAAGCCACCAGGACCTTGTGTCCTTCTCCATCTGGGTCTTGAGCATGTGCTTCACATAGGAAGGGGGAACCATCATAGCAGCACCCCGGTCCAGGGGGAAGAGCTGTTTCCGGCCGGTGTTGGCCAGCTGGTCCACTGCTTCGTTCCATTGTACTCCTTCATGGCCCGGGCACCAGTTCAGCTGCACCTTGACGTGTAGGCTGAGATGGGCGATGTCACGAGCGATGGCCGATCTCTCGGTAGCTTCTCGGCCTCGAATCGTGCGGATGGAAGCCTGAGAGTCTGTGAAGAGAAGCCATTCTATACCTCTGTGAGCCGAATAGCTCAGCCATCGCAGGGCTCTGCGGATGGCTTCCAGTTCGCATTGGTGAATGGTGGCGAACCGCTCAAGCTTAAAGGCTTGGCGCTCCACCACTTCTCCTTCTTTGACAGCCAGGAAGGCCCCGCCGGCACTATCGCCGAACTTGGAGCCATCCGTGTAGATGGCGGGGCCTCGGTAGGCCGATGCCAGTTCGACCGCTTCTTCTCTGGGGCGGATGGAGGCGGGGAGGGAGGGGAGCCACGGTGGGAGAGGATGGGTCTCTCGCCGGTCCACTCGCCATGACGGTTCCGCCGCTCCAGGCCCAAGGGCCGCTGCTAGGTCACTAGGAGTACCTGTGGTGGCGCGGCATCTTCCTGCCAGCATTCTCAATTGGATGCTAGCCGGAGTGAGGCCGGCCATCATCATCGCCGCGGCGTGGGAGGCCGAGCGAGGGGCCCGAATGGCTATCCTCGCTGCCAGGCCGGACACGCTATCGACGGCCTTGGCCAGATTCGGGTTCTCCAGTGCCTCCGCCCAGACGCTGACCGCGTGCCCAAGGAAGGGCAGCACGGCCAGGTGGTAGGTCTTCAGTATCCGCTTGGTGTCGAGCCCAGCCCGTTCCCAACCCAGGGCGTGTAATCGCCCTAGGCGGGAGCGAGCTTGGGCCGTCTTTCGCTTGATGTGCTCCCTGAAGAGCAGTCGCTGGTCCACTGTCAGGCCTAGGATGGTGACGACCTTGGCCCGGCCGATGGCCTTACCGTCGATCATTAGCGCTGATACCTGAAGCTTCCTAGGCGAGAGGTAATAACACTTACTGGGGTTGAGGCTGAGCCCGGAGGCTCTCGACCAATCCGAGAT